GAAAGAATACATGTATCTTCTATAATATACCAATATCAATAATAATATTAAATGCTGACCATAACAATTGGTTAAAAACAAACTAAAAATAACCTGATATTATGCGCCAAACCATCTATAATGGTGGACCACTGTGGCAGCGAATTACAGTTGGGGATGTTGAGACACATATCGAAAATGTCTTGCAAAATGTCTCTTTGAGGCCAACGTCTGAAACTCATTCGATGATCAACTTACGACTAAGTAACATCAAACGATTCAACAAATCAATGTGAAATATTAGACCTGTTCAGAAATGGTTCAGATAATAAGCAAAGTGTAAATGAATATGAAATGGTCACCTTTTAATCACCGATTGAATGCTATAATGACCCGTTTGTAAACTTTTATGTGTTTTGATATATTGGCCGAATATCAGCACGTGGATTGTCGATATGAACCCGAAGAAATCAGTCTGATATGTCCACGGACGGCCATCCTGTAATTATTATTGCATAGTTACATTACTGCATCTAAGTTAAACGATAACAACAGAAATATAATCGTAAACAAATAAAATGAAACGAACCAGCATCTCCATACAGTCGAAGGTCTCCGTTCCAGCTCGTCCCTTGAAAGTGCGATCACCCAACGCAGCCATATCAATGCCTCGACCCCAATCAATCAATTTCAATATGAAGAAATCATCTCGCATCATCTCATCCAACGTGCTTCTCTCATCAACACTAAAATACATCCTCCATTATAATTATTATACAAAACCAAATTGATACAAAATATTTATAACGAACGCTTCAAACCCAAATAACAAAAACTCAACGCAAACCTCGTCATAATCATAAAATTATCCGGTTTAATATCGCCATGAATTATTTTCACTTGATGCACTGACTGAATGATTTTAGCCATTTGCCATGCCAAATAAACAGCCAGCAGACCAGAGCACGTGCGGTTTTCTTGTCTCATTGTGTTGATCATGTCCTTAATGCATTCAAAATACATCATTAGTCGATCCACTTTCATTGAGATGATAATCAGATCCGTTCTGTTATCAGAATCAATAGAGGGAATGATGCAATAAAGCAGTAAAAGAAGACGAAACCCACCAGAAGATTTCCATTCCGGTGATACTGATAGACAATGGCACTTGCATTCGAGTAAATGTACGCGTCTCGAACGGTCATCACTGACGGCAGTTTAGCTGCAGGCAATCGCAGTCTTAGTGCCTCACAAATGTAAACCTCCCAACGGCATGCTGGCACCTCGTGCTAAATATATCTTTCCATAGTTTAACAATCCTAACAATAAATAATAATAACAATAACAATCTTTACAGAATGCAATGAGGAATGCAACACAAGACGACCGGATAAAATAATAACCTTAATCGCATACGTTTTTCCATCGTCTGATAAACCTTTATATACCTTCGCAAAACCACCCTCACCAATTAGTGCTTGTATATCGAATCGCTCTCCACTCAACACGATTGAAGCACCTGGATGGATTCGTCGAAGACATTCCTTCAAATATCATCANCGTTGAGAATTTCTGCTTTTATGACAAAGTGTTGATGAATCAGCGAGTAACAACAATAATGGGAATAAATAATAATAACAACAATAAAACTAACCGAGAAATCATGTAGATTAGTTGGTGTTAACCTGCGGCTAACCATTATCTTATCTTGTAAATCACGATTCCACGGATCCACTTCTGATTCGATTGAAGATCTATAATTATACAATTATTATGTCAGAATCATAATAATGATTCTAAAAATATAACTATTCTGAGAACTATCCTGGTTATCATTTAAAAAAACAACTGAAACATAAAAATGTCTTACCTCAAACCTCTTCCGGTAGGTTCATCAACATCTTCATCAGCATTCAATCTGATACCTTCCACACCGCGTTCGACGATTGGAGTTAACTGATTCACTTGTTGTGGTTGCGAATGATAGTGCGTATTTGTGACGTTTGGTTTTGCTGTCGGCTGAGTGCTTTTCGCAGTCTGTCAATAATCGTTATCACCAACTTCATTTAAAATGATGATAAACTCATTAACAAAAACAGATGATGCATATTCACACACCTGAGACGCGAATCCGAATTTTCGTTCGAATGCAGAAGATCCACCCGCAACATTCCTCTTAGTGGATTGATCTTTTCCGAGTACGGGCAGCTGTACATCCGCGTCGTTGGAACTCGGTAGAATAAAGCCTTTAAGCAAAATACTTTATGCAAAAGTTATAAATAAATACCAAATGCATTGAAAGTGTCGATCAAATAAATTCTTAGCGAATGAATGTGTATGAATATATCGTGAATTCAGAATAAACTGAAGGCTGAGGACGGACCTCCTCCAATGATCGGATCTTGAAGCGGTACCAAATTATTGGCTGGTGTTGAGGTGACCGGTTTACTTCTTTTGTTCTTGAATAAGCCAGCCACTGTTTCCTCATCCGTACCATCAGGAAAGTCCATTGCTGAATTGATAATCTTATTCGATGTTATTATAAAATCCATTCAGAGAATCGAGGGGAACAGAATATCGGAAATAAATGAAATCGCAAAACGAACTCGAATGAAAATCATGCGATTGTTGAGCTATATCTTTTTTCGATGCAACTACTGAACGTGATGGTTGCGGCACATGACAGACAGATTTGCGCGTCTGAGACGGTATTATCTCTGGCTGCAAATAAAATGTAAAACTTTCATAAGACAAAATAACCATAAACCAAAGTTAACTTTGTGATCATTTCAAACAGTTTTAATTAAATCGTTAAATGTAATACACATCCAAGTGCAACGTACCACCTTAAATCCAACGTGCCCATGATCGTCATTCATCGCTGCTGNGCTGCTGAAGATGGTTTTGCATCGTTCTTGATCACTTTATCCTCATTGCTGATTACGGATCTTCCAGTCAATTGATGTTTATCATTTTCATCAGTGAATAAATCCTTATGAGCAGTCATCACGTTGTTATCACCGTTATCCTTATTCGTCATATGCAAATCCGTATCGTTCACTGCGAACGATTCACTTTCTCGATAGATGTCGAATGTTGGTGCTGCCATATTTACCGCTGGTGTTGTTTTCGGTGCTGTCAATTGATTAGTACTCAATGCTTCATGATCTTCAGTTTCATTCAGTACAGTTGTTTCGTTTTCGAATGCTGTTGATGCTAAAACACATTTTTAAATTGCTATAAGCACTTATTATATGAACAAGAAAACAAATAAAATTATAACACAATTTAAAAAGCACCAGATTCTCAACAAAAAATTCAAAACAAGTCATAATAATTGGTAACCTGAACGAGGTGGATGAACGGGTAGAGTATCACCGAATTCTTTCATTGCTCTTGTATAAAACTTCTCGGTGAACGATGTACCGCCTAGTTCAATCGGTGAAGACATCGGAAAATCTTGTTGTGGTGCAGCTGAACAGATACTTGCATAATCGTTTATCATTCACCCATTGATTTTATGCAATTTATGAAATATATTCTAGCAATAAATTTAAATAAAGAATAAATGAGCTAACCACTATTGGTTTGATGAGGTGGTGTTTGCGGTGTGGGTAAAGGCACTGATGATAACGGTTTACGATTCGATGCCGGCGTTGGTATTGACTGGTGCGAGTGTTGCCTCTTTACTAGTGATGCTGCTGAATCCATTATGATATCATCTGCGGTCGAATCCTTCTTCTGAANAAAAAAAACAATCTGTCTACTAATATAAAGCGTAAAAACTTCACAACACAAACAAATAATTCTTCTCAACACAGCCAATGCATATTCCAAACACAATAAGTGAACCTTGGCTGGAGTGATGAAATCATATGGCATCGGTCGTTCATTCTCGTCGTATATTTGCTTTCTATTTGAAAAGTTGCTGTTTGCATTCCCGTCCACACTGGCCGTACCTATGGACATCGGCTCATCATTCTCACTTCGATACTCTGTCTTCTCTTCACTTATCACGGACAACTTATTGTGCTCTTCCATATCACTGTAATTTTTTATCAGTTACCTCAAATTTACATCTCTCAAAAATCTAAACTGATGATTACTCGGTTATAGTAAACAAAAAATTGAGATGCACTAAAATATACCTGCTCTGTTCCTCGGGTGGATATGGATATCCGCATTTGGTGGCAAGTCTTTCTTCAGGCGACATCTTTTCATCAGCGATCAACAACGCATTAGTCGTCGTCGATCGCATGTCTTGATGTTGTTCAATGCTATTTTTAGTAGTAACAGCACGCTGTTGTTGTTGTTGATAATCACTGAAAGTCGTTTTGACCGAAGTTGAGCGTGCTGGTGTTGTTGTTGCTGCAGCACTCACCGACGGTACCACTGGTACGTTGTACTGTTTACTCTTTGCGAACAAATTCATCGTAGGTTCAAATTCCACTTCGTTGAAATGCTCTTGTTCCATGGCTCTAAAAGATTTTTTCAATTAAAGTTGACCGTTTTATTCGATTTATGCACAAACACATGATAAAGGAAAACAAACTAAAGTACAAACCCGAAGGCCTCGTCAATTCTTGAAGGTGGCTGAGCCTTTGCTCTGATGGCCATTTGTTTGATTTCGTTGAAACGCTTCCGATCCTTCTCTTCCGCATAAACCTGAAATACATATCACGAACAAATANAATATAGCGCGAATGAGAATGCGATCAAACTATAAGAATTACCTTCGCCCATTGGACGTAGAACTCGCTGAGATGAAGAAATTGTCCTCTCTCGTGAACTTGCTCCAGCACTCCTTTCAGGCCCATCGACCGACTGATTCGCCCCTGTAAGATAGAGATAATCGTCGCCTTATAATTCGAAAAAAAAAATTCACAGTGAAATGTAACATAGCATAATCAACGTAAATTCAACCGTGACAAAAATCTAATTGTAAGTAAAATGATAAACAAACCATTAAGAGAACGACGTACAACATTCGTTCATCGTTATAAAAACGACAATCCGGTTGGCCATATTTCTTGATCACCGACACAACAAAACGTCGAAAATCTCCTTGCGTGTCTTCATCCTTACAATTCTTCTCCATCCATTGCAGTGTGCTAAACAGACATAATTTATTTTGATTCATTGAAACGGCAAAAGGAACATCTTTTAAAATAATAGAAGAACAATTCGATGAGTTCACGGAAATTATTCGAAATTGTAATGCACGTAATTAGTTCGAAACCAACCAAACACACCAGTCCAGCTGTTGCGTTTCTGGCCACTTTCTGAAAGAGAACATAGAATCAGTCGCATGAAGATTTGGGCGATAGAGATGAGCAAATAAAAAGAGAATCAATATGATGAAATGGAACTGATGAATATGTCGGAAAGCTCAGAAATATACTCACTCGATGCCACGGAGCAGGTCGTTAGCGGACATCTTTTTGTGATATAATGATGCTGACGTTCAACTGAGGTAATGATAACCACAATAAAAACACTTATCAACCCTGAACGTCACTCAACAAATAACGAAGAGCCGGAACAGCAGACCGTAAGCGCGATGAACAAATCCAAATACTAATTTAAAATAGAAAACGGTCACAGCAAAAAAAAATGACGGATGAATCGAAAAAGACACAAAAATATTGCAAAATAATGCCACATTCAAAGGTTTACAAAGCAACGGAACGAAACTTTATTCATTCGTGAATTCAGCAATGCATTGCATAAAAAATCACAAATTTATCCCGAAATCTTAAAACCCTGAACGTCTCTTAATATTAAAACAATTCAGCGTTTGAATTTGAAATAACGCGCCG